TCTTAAAATTAAAGCACTTTTGTCTCTCTACATACTATGTCATATCCTCTAATACACACACTGTATTGTCACCGTACATACTATGTCATATCCTCTAATACACACACTATCATCTAATACTGAAAAGTTTGTTTTCTATTTTTAGAACGTCTTACAACTCACATGATGACTTATTACATACAGAATGATGTCACCTATTTCACCCACATATTTTCTCTAATTTGTGTTTATGCTATTGATCCTATTTTTGTTTTTTATATACTGTAAAATGACTAATTTTCACTGGGTTTAAATTTCACTGATTTACCATTTCAGGCATCTTCAGTGGGTTTTAAATTCACGGTTTCGTCATTTAGATAATGTGTTCTATGCTAAATTTTACATATTCACTGGGTTTTAATTTAGCGCATTTTTCTAGTCAGCGAAATAAGCCAAATTAAAACCCAGTGAATAATTAACCCCTTTACAGTAATACACCATTAATTAAAACAATATTGAGAACCCAACAATGAATGTTGTATTTATAAAACAAACTAATTTTGATTTTTAATTCAATACTGTACATTTCATGAAGGCATGCATTTGTTTGGATATTTATAAAATGTCTATAAATATTTACTCTGGTAGAACCAAATGTTTCATTTGAATTAGAAAATAGACACTCCTATTGGCTATAGAAGTTATTTGATAACACCCATTACCCACAAGTCTTTGCAGACTTTCTTCTGTCATTGGTCGATTCATGGCCATGAATTCTAAATGCATGGTGATTGGTCTAGGTGTTTTCAACCATCATTTGAATTTTATAAAACATTTATAAATATTTTTAAAATAAATTTAGGCCTTCATGAAATGCATAATAAACAAATAAATAAATATTAAATAAATAAAACAAGAGGTCATAAATAATAACACATCCCGCTAGATATACATTATCAGTTAAAACATATGTACAATACTTATAAATAAAAATGTGGCTCCCCACTTTGAGAACTAAAAAACGAAACGAAAAACGAAAACTAATCTTAATGAAAATCAATATATTTCTACTATTTTAGATTCAACTTGACAAATTTTGAGAACAAAACTGGTATTTGTGATCACAATAATATTTCATGCAATATTTATATGTTTCCAAAATACCATATTTTATCCAAATTACAACATATCATGAATTGAAAACTTTTAGATCACTATACGAGTTAGATTCCTTCTCATTTGGTATCTTTACGAATTATCGATAATTGATGGAATATTTGGTAAATGAAACTGTCCTTCTTAGGAATCTTTAAAAAAATCATGCAAAATTTTAAATATGAAATTTTTGAAAATTTGAAGTTAAGATATATTTGACACCGTTATTAACAGCTAAATGAAATATGCTAATTTATTGAATATTTATTTTTTATCCCATTGACATAATACTATTTTCATTATTTTTATTTATCGTTTTTGCTTCCCGTAATATAAAACTTTGAAGTGACCAAATCTCCCACATAAAGTACTCACCTTCAACACTTAATTAGCTGATATGTTGCTGTAAAAATATAATTGCTTTGGGATATAGATGCACCCCAGTAAAAAATGACCAACCCTTGGCAAATCAAACAATAATAATTATCAAATAATTTTGATATTCCCATATTTTTTTTTTAATTATTTGGGATGTTTTGGGCTTGGAACAGCACTACTGTGTTTCAGCAAATTCTTTCATCTCACCATCATCCATAACTCCATATTTGCTTGATTCTTTGAACTCATTGTCAGATTTCAACATTGCATCTTTCCACTGACGGCTTGTGAAAAAAGGTAATGATCCACCATAGTCGGCAGGAAGAGACGATGATGGGATACACTCATGAAGTGAGGTAAAATCAGAACCATGAATACGAATCTTTGTGAAATAAAAAAAATGGTTTTCAAAATATTAGACAAATGTTCTCTGCAACAAATTGGTCAATACACAATTTTGTCAATTTTTTTTCAGATTGCTACAAAAAACTTTCAACAAACAAGCTAATCTCTAATTGGTCTTACTATTAGACATTAGATTTAGTTAGCCAATCAGATACAATCTTGTAAGTAGTTTTGCATTGATTCAAGTTTAGTGCCAAACTTCCATACCAGTCTCACATTCACTTCTGGATAGAGAAAGGCAGTAGGAGTGAAATACCTTGCCTGAGAATACCACACAAACAGAAACACAGAGCTGAATTTGAAGGTATGCCCTAAGAAGCAGTGTCTAGACTACAGTCCTCATCAATCTAGTGATGAGTGCATGTGTACATATCTGTAAATTGAACGTCTTGTGATACACATATGCAATATCTCAAAAAGTATTACATTTTAACAGTCAAGGCAAATTCTTTGGTAATGCAACAGATTTAAACCAAATCAATGAATACCTGTAATGTGGTTCTATAAAGTCTTGATGTTTTTGCATTATTTATTCTAATTGACACTTATATGACAGGCAGGATAAATAGCGAGAATGAGTTGCCACTATTTAGAAACAGGTATGAAAAATGACACAAATGTATATGCAAGACATGATGTCTGTTTAAAATGTGTGATTTTGATTCATCTTTTGCTTTAAAATGACTGTCACTCGGCCATGTTGAAATGGATCATGAGAAAAATACATGTGCATATGTTCATTATGATGTCTGATGTAAGTATGAAGTTTGAGTTTGTTTGGGATTACCATGTTTGAAATATAGATCCAGAGCTATTTTGAACCTGATTCAAAAAATAATATTGTGTCACCGTACTCTTATTGACCAAATCTGGTCACACACAAATGAGATCCAGTCCTTGAATTGTGAAAATTTTCAACTTTCAGGGAATAAACTTGTGAAATGCTCGATACAATATGTTATGTATGTTCAAACTTGATTGTTGCAGGAATGTGTGCGATACAAGAAGATACAACCACACAGGACACACAGACAAATGAGATTACAAAGGTCAATCAATAAGTCCCTATTTTCAGTCTACATCAAAGTTGGGACTAATAAAGTGATGCCCTCAACAAACATACACGAGATGATATGGCTATAGAGTGTCCCCATACTACAAATGAATACTTACTCTGTTTTTAAGCTTTTCTTTAAGAAAAGGTCTAACAACTGCGAATACAGCATCAAATAGCCTTGGTTCGTTAACATAATGCATACCTTTAATTCTGATAGGCATTGCATTCTGTAAAGAGAATAGAATATATATATCAGGTTGTGAGGTTTTATCAGAGATTCTACAATCATAGCATAACATGAGAATATAACAACAAAATATGACACAGAACTTTAATTGAGCTGTGAGTTGACAGCTCCATGCAGTGTAATTTAATATACATGCCATAGCTGTAATTTGTCTGGTACATAACTGGACATTCCTTGTCTCACAACAATTGCATAAGTGATATGAAATTTTGATATAAATGAAATGTATACACAATACACATAGCATTACACAAAATACAAATATCAACTATATCAAAATGGCATGCAGAAAAATGAGAACAGTAACTTTATGATATTGAAATACATGTACATAATGTTAACTTTTTGAAGGATTTTTGAACTTATTACTGTATGGTCAAAAATTTGTTAAGGTAGAAGTCTACTCATAATTTTTTTAAAAAGTTGGTCATAAATCGCATGATATTGTTCATCGGTTTATTATGTAAACTCTTGAAGCTATTGTTCAATGGCAGAATTAAATAACATTCTTTTGCATGTTACAGTGACACATTTTGAGAAACTTGTATTTTTTGAATATTTTTTAAAAATTGCATAGTGCACAATTTAAAAAGAAAACTGCATTTTTTGAACCAATATTTTAAGTAATTCTGGAATATATAATTTTTTCAACCGATGTCACCAGCCTACAATTCGTGATATGCCATAATATCACTGCCATAGAATCTTATGGTAAGCGAGTTATAATCCTGAAAAAATGGCTACTATTCACTAAAATACAATAATCGTTTTCTAGATATAAGGCTGGTGACCCCAACATTTTTAGTCAATATCTTTATATTGCCCAGGAGTACAATTTATTGCAAAATGAATAAATTCTGGCTATTTGCATTTATGAGTAGGCGTCTACCATAACCGTAGTAGGTCACTATGTTTGCAGTCCAGAAAATAACAAATGTGGCTTGGAAGACTTGGACAAGATTTTTGTATGAACCCCATAACTCCTATGGAGTATTTATTCTACGTTTCGATGACAATAATATCCATTAAACTATAAACATGAGGGCACTCTGACATCACAATTATGTATTTCTTGTATCCATGCAAATGAAAATCAAGAATATTGAGTCTTGGATACCATGGAAACTAAATAATACAAAATTCAATTCCATTCAACTTCAATGCATAACAATGGCAAGAAGTGCAGTAAACACATAGCAAAATTACAAAACAAAAATAGCTGAAAAAAAACACACACATGTAAGCCACAGAAAAATACAACAAGCTCAAACATAATTATATTAGCGATGTAAAGATAGAAATAACGAGAAATGATGATTAAGACAGAAACACAGCGGAGTTTGAAAACTATAGCATGGTGTGCAAGAAGTAGTTTTGAGTTACTTTAATGAACAACTTATGTTGACAAACAATTTTGACATAATTTTTCTGAATTATATATTGAAATGAAATGATTAGCTGTTTTATGCTTTACATGGAACACTAATCAGTGTGGTATTAAATGTTACCTGTAAAATTGAATCAAGCTGTAAGAGGAACAGATTGACTTCTCTGAACCATAGACAGGGCTAGAAAAAGAGGACAGATACACACCTGAAGAAATTTAATAGCAGAAATATCTGTGTTTACAAACTCAGTCAGTTTATTCATTTTAAGTCATTTTCTATAATTTAACTGAAGATTTAACTGAAGTAACACTTGAAAACACATTGTCTTCACCAAATTTAATCATCTATTGTGTCAGAGAAATTATAGAAGAAAACAAATGACAAATAAACAAAATCATCATTTTGTATTAACAATTAACAAATGTATAAGAAGCAGTGTACTTCCACATGTACACTAAATGGAAAAAAAATAATGAGACAGACCCTGTATGGTGGATAAAGTGTATTTCCACACACAGAATGAAAAAAATATTGAGACAGACCCTGTATGGTTAATAAAGTGAATTCCTACACACAGAATGAAAAAAGTTTTAAGAAAGAACCCAAGTGGATAATAATACAAAGATATGCAGATCAAATAGAGCATCAGTTCGAAATTTGAAAATATTGTGGATATCGGCTCATAAGGTATCCACTATTTTACCATACGATGATCTACAAGTTTAGTTACATTGCATCATGATTAGTAGAAACAGTAAACAAAAGGATGGATGGGAATTAACTGGAAAACACCAGAATACAAATATTCAAGCACATAGACTATGCAACTGTAATATAAACTTGTATGAACCTGTAACAGTTTGTACTATCAACACAACAAACTTGCAGTGCCAAATGATGTCATTTGTAAATGTTTCAATTTCACTTTGATATATAGCCAACAGAAACCTCATAAATTAGTTACTTTGAAATATGGAATTTATTAATTTTGAAGATGGGTTTGTTGTGTTGTTGTGTACCCCACAACAGCGATAATTATTAATAGATTAACTAATAGATAATTTTTCATTCACTATGTGATCTTGTGTATTGTGTGAAAGGCGTGGACTGAGCGTCTGCCGCAAGATCAAACAATTTGATTAGGGGCC